GTACGCACCTTCGGCCATGGGAGCAGCGTATGCTCAGATCATCTCGTATGCCGACCTGAGTGACGACAGCACCGACGGGCAGTACATTTGCCACAACGTTGTCTCGAGCAGCGCCTGCACGGCGCCGGCGACACGCTACTTCTCACCTCAGTTCCTGGACGAATGGTTCGGCACATCTGGCACGTCGCGCTTGACTCCGGAATGGGTGACTGCGCGCGGCGAGGCGGAGCGCCGCTCGATCGAGGTGATCGACGCGCAGGACAAGCCGGCGATCCAGCGCGTTGCTCACCTCTCGGACATCCACCTCGATCCGCGCTACCTAATCGGTGCCGAGGCGGCCTGCACAAACGGCCAGTGCTGCCGCGCTGACTCTTGGAACAGCACTACCGCACCCAGCGGCCCTCCTGCCAGCGCGTTCACCACGGACGGCAACGTGGAGCTCAGCCTGCAGCCGCAGAACATCAGCCAGCCCGCTGTGTACTGGGGCGCGTACAAGTGCGACTCACCCTGGGGCCTCGTGGCGAACACGCTGAGCAGCGTCAAGGAGGTCATCACCAGCGACACAACTGCGTACCGCAAACGCGCAATGGGTGACCGCAGCGCGCTTGCGAAGCGTGCAATGTCTAACAAGCTTGCATTCAGCTTGTTCACTGGGTGAGACGGACATGAGATCTTGTGGCGCTGTACAGACCAGCGAAGGCAGCCAGCTGACCCAGTACCTTTTTCGTGTGACCCTCCTTCAGCGACATGGTCACGCACGAAAGCGGCGCGGCGTGGCACCTGACACGCTCGCTCGTGTGGTACGTGCAGCAGGCAATCTTTGACTCTTTCGCGCGCTGGCTTGGGCCAGGACCGGTCTACAGCGCCATCGGCAACCACGACTCCGTTCCCAGCGACTTTGCATCGCCTAACAGCTTGCTAGATGGACGCGGCAAGCAGTTTAGCTGGGATTGGAACAATGTCGCAAGGCTATTCAGAACGGAAGGTTGGATCACCGACCCGAAAAAATTAAAGGAGGTCAAGACGCACTACGCAGGGTACTCGGTCAAGCACAGTGATGATCTGAGGATCATCACGCTGAACACGGACATGTGGTACAAGTGAGTATATGCGCTCGCTTCCATGCGTAATGTATTTATTGGGCATGTACTGAAAAGGCCCCACTATCACCATTTGAACCTGTCAGGGGCAACTACTTCAATTTTATCAACACGAGCAACCCAGACTCTAGCAACATGCTGCGTTTCCTGACCGATGAGCTCGTCAAGGCGGAAGCTGCCAATGAGAAGGTCTGGATCATCGGCCACGTTTTGACCGGGTGGTCTGGCACCAACGGCCTCAAGGACCCCACGAACCTTTTCTACCAGATTGTCGAGCGCTTCTCGCCGTATACCATCAGGGGTATTTTCTTTGGGCATACGCACGAGGATCAGTTCAGCGTTATGTAAGTCCCTGTTCGAGGCTGTCATGTTTGCCGGGGTAAGAGTGCCCGAAGCTGACGCCGAACCTTGCATACGCTGGCGCTCGGCAGGTACGCCAAGAACGGTACAACACGTGCAACGGTGGACGCGCTGAACGTGGCTTACATGGGTCCCTCTATCACCCCAGGTAAGCTATGGTGCTCGTCGAGCTGCTCGCCAACATGGCCGCTACGAAGTATTGACTGTGTGACCCTTCGCGCACACCTCCGCGCATCAGGCACGAACGTGAATCCATCCTTCCGCATTTACGACGTCGACCCTTTGACCTGGCAGGTGCTCGACTACCATCAGTACTACACGCAAGCTGCGGATTTCCTGACGTTGCCACATAGCGGGCACGGACCGGTGTGGTCGCTGCTGTACTCTGCACGCGCGACATTCGGCAATTTCAGCGCGTCGGTCGCCGCGGGCAGCTACACAGCGCCGGTGCAGCTCAACGAGGACAACCTGTGGCCGCAGGATGTGCCGCTGAACGGATCCTACTGGGCCGCCGTGACTGACGAGATGAGCGCGCGGCCTGAACTCGTCACGCTGCACACGCGCCTCAGCGGACGGAACTCTCCGCGCTCACCGACGTGCACGGAGGCAGCGTGCATCGCAGCGAAGATCTGCTACATGCGCAGCGGCAGTAGCCCACTCGGCCAGGAGTGCCCGCAGGGCTTCGATTCGGTCCAGTCGGGAACTTATCACTAGAGGGTGCGATGTATTTTTTGTGTTGGGTTGTGTTGCAGCGAGCAGTGCATTATTCATCAAGAGAACAGAACGAAATAGTAATGTATTCGCGGACGCGAAATTAGAAGCGGTCTTCACATTGCAATTTTCTAATCTGCAAAGTCGTCAGGGTGCTCAAAGTAGTACGAGACTGTGTTCCGGAGCGAAGGTGAAAAGGGAGATGAGCGAAAGGACACGGAACCTAGTGTGCAGATGCAGACAACGACATACCAGCAAGCTCGACATTCTTGCCACACGCAAAGTAAACCTCGATCGCCTTGTCCTGTGGCACACCCATGGCGGTGATGGTGCCGATGTTGTCGCGATCCTCTTGGCCGAGGCTGTCGAACGACGGGATCTCAATTTCCTCTCCAGGGCCGCCATCCCCGCCGTTCATGCCTTGCAAAAGGCTGAGCACGGCCGCAGGATTCGCCTGAAGTGCCACGGCGAGCTGCGGGTTCTGCTGCGCGATCGCTTGCACGAGCGGCTGCAGAGCCGCGGGGTTCTCCTGCGCGAGACTCCGCAGCTGTTGCAGCATGGCCGGGTTGCTCAGATCGATCATCTCGCCTCCTTGTTCGTCATCCTCGCCACCAAGTCCGCCTGCTCCTTCCGCTCCAGCTCCTCCTCGTCGGCCCCCTTGCGCTTGCGCTGCAGCTGCTTCGAACAGGTTGCCTCCGCGAGCTGGCTGTGCCTGCCCACCTGCGGCCCCAGCTCCAGCTCCAGCCCCTGCGCTGGCTGCAGCAGATCCAGCCGCAGGTGCGGCGCTTGCCGCAGGTTGGTCGAGACCTTCAGGGATGCCCTAGTCTCAGATGAAATAGTAAACCATGGTCAGCTTTGCGTTACTCACGGGGGCTAAGCAGGCGAGGCATGCCGCCTCTCGACTCACAGTCATGAGATATTCGACGGCGCGGTCAGGGTTGTTAAAGCTAGCCCTCATGGCTCTCTCGACCTGCGGCCGCTCGAAGCCCATCTCCATCATGCTCTGAATCGCCCTCTCTAGCTCGGGTCCGCGCACTGCCACAGATCAGATGAAACCAGGCGGGGTCAGCGGCAGCCAAAGGGACCCATCGGTACCGTTGATGGCCTCACAGAATGAGCTAGAGTCGCCGGCAGAGGCCGCAGCGCCCTCACTGCCGGACTCTGTGGCTGCTGGTGTCTCGGAAACTGTGGAAGCAGCGGGTGCAGCACTCTCTGATGATGCGGGCGCTGCTGCTGCAGGAGCAGGTTCACCAGCTGCGGTAGAGGTGGATTCTGGCTCAGCGTCGGCCTTGGGTGGTGCGGCAGCGGTCGCTGACGATGACGCAGCTTCCGGCTTTGGTGCTTTGGGCTGCAGCCAGATCAAAGGGAAAAAGAGGGAAGTGCAAAGTTCACTCAGTAGTTGCATTCATCTGGTTTGGTATGCAAAAGGCCTTACCTTGGACACCATGCTGACAAGAAAGTCTTTCTCCTTGATGTTACAGTCCTGGATTGTTTTGTCATCGGCCAAGACCTTGCCGGAAAAGATGATCTTCTGGTTCTCGAGCGGGTGGCCTTTAATGTCCTTGATCTTTTGCTTGACCGCCGCGATCTGGCAGGAGCATATTGAGCAGGGAATATATCAGCCAGATGCGCACTTTTGTGTACAGGCAGAGGGCCCCATGGCCTCTTCTCTCGCTGCGACGATCCATGAGGAGCAGGTGTGCGTGCACACGCGAAGGACTGACCGTGTCGCTTGGCTGGACATCCACCTGGAAGTTGCCGCCCGTGAGGGCCTTAACTGTGACAAGCATCTTAGCTGCAGGACAGCGGGGATGACGCGGGTGGATATCGCCTGATTTCTTCTGTAGGATGCTGCTTCAAGGCGTGCTTTGGCAGTTTGAGCTGCTTGAGATTGGAATTGTTGATGAGGGGTGTTGGTCTCCAAAGCGAGGATTTGGTTGGCGACACGCAAGCTGTGTCATTTGATTCCATTCACTTCTGGTGACCACAGTGGCCTCGTGCCGGTATGCGGAACGTTGCCGTGCGGCAGTCAAAGTGTTCCCGCCGCCATCCTCGCCTCGCCGGCTGGTGGATCTGAGGTAGCGAGCGCGGCCGCTTGACTTGAATTCAAATGCACTTACCGTGAAGCCACTCACCTCGCCCCCCTGTCCGGATACGAGTAGAAGCTAACAGCAAGCATACTTTTCAATGCCCCAGCACTTTGCCCAAATTTGCCCACTCCTTCCACTGCCGCCGCCGCACTCGAGGAAGCAAGAGCGAGCCGATCAGGTGCTCACTTTTGCACCACGTCCAACATGGATCACGGTGGTATGGATCACGGTGGCAAGGGTCACGGGGGCATGGACATGTCACCGACGGCGTGCAAGATGGTCATGATATGGGACTGGTCTGTGCCGACGGCCGACGTGTGCGTCGTTTTTTCCTCCTGGCGGATCCGCAATCAGAGCGACTTCATCCTCTCTGTGCTCGCCATCGTCTTCCTCGGCGCGCTGTGTGAATGGCTGCGTCTCTTCATCCGCAGCTGCGATCAGGGGTTCGCGGACGCAATAAGCTCGGGAAGCGCTAGGACGCCACACCGGGGAAGAGCTAGCGTCCTCCCGAGCAACTTGGCAGACTCATCCTCGGGCAGCGACATTTCCACCTCTATCGGCGATGGGCGCGGCCTACTAAATCGCTCTAAACCCAAGGGCAAGTCTCTCCGTAAAGCTGGCGGTGCAAAGTCACTCATAGGGATGTGAGTAAGATGGCTGTCTCAGGAGAGAACATCGACTAACGGAACTCATCGCTGCTGTTTCATCTGACTCCACTCGTCTAGTCGGCCCCTGCCCATATCACGAGCATCACAGCTGCAACGGTCGATACTCTACGGCGCCAGTGTCTTTCTCTCCTTCTTCCTAATGCTAGTCTTCATGACGTACAATTTTTACCTCATCGGAGCGATCGTCTTCGGTAAGTGTAAGCCGGCGGGGACTGTATGGGGCGTGCGCTAACGATCGGGATGACTCATTGACCGACCTTGCGTGGGCAGGAGCTATTCTCGGCCACTACCTCTTCAATCGGGATCTCGCCCAGCAAAGTAGGCTCAGCCTTCTCGGTGATCGAGGCGCAGCTTGCCATTGAAATAATGAAATTGATCAGCAACTCAAAACTTCTTGGCCGCAGCGTCGCGACATTTGCCAAGCAACCATCACGCATTTCTCCACTCAAACGATCTTCTGCACATCTAGTCACCATCGCACGTAGCTTAACCACTTGTGTACTTGTATGAATTCCAGGCATTCTTCTATGTTTTATTTCTTCACAAACATGTACAGGCCTGCAAGCACCACAGGGAAGAGGTCAGCAAGCTCCACCATCGACGGCCCGGTGCTCACCAGGACGCACTTGTTCGATATGGCTACATGCAGCAGAGTAAGGATTGACGGACGATTAGCATCGGGTTGACACACAAGCAGAATGCAACGAGCAAGGTGAAGGCTCACATATTCAAAAATGCCCTTCTCCTTGTCGATCCACCGCCTTCCGAGCGCCTCGTCCTCAGCGTCGAAAATGGCATCGAGCCCGCGCTTGACATCTGCCTGAACTTCGGGCGGGAGCAGCGTGATGTAGCTCTTGCTCAACACGCGCTCATGCACGCCCTCCATCGTGGTCGGGATGACACGTGTGACGTGGATCTCTGGAAGAGGCTCGAAGAGCTCACTATAAGCTGGAACGTCGTACATCGCCTTCCATTTCATTTGGCGGTCTGGGCAGGTGGTTTGTGTTGGGAGAAAGAACGCATTAGCACGGGAGTCTGCCTCCATATCCGAAGCAGAGGCGGAAGATTGGTCAGCTCACACTGCGGCGCCCCACCCTCGTACGCTTCAAAGCAGTCCCTGGCCCTAGCGACCCATCTAGCCGCGTCGCGATCCTCGATGTTCCAGAGCAGCGCCAGCACGCCACCCGTGCGCAGGGTGCTCGCAATCTCGCGCAGCGCCGCGTCAAAGTCCAGGCACCAATGCCACGCTTGTGCGATGAGCACCAGGTCGTTGGCGTTCGTGCCGGCCCTGTGCGCGAACGCATCGAACGCACCGTCGGCGATGGTCACACCGCCGTGCAGTTGCTGCTGCTGCGTCAGCTCGCGCAGGCGCGGTACCAGGTTGTCGAGCACAGACTTTTGGAAGTGCGCTCGCATGCCATCAGACGGCTCGAAGCCTTGATATTGCTCAATTTTGAACGCAGGCGTCTGATTTTCAACCTGTGAAGCGGCAGCACGCCCTAATAGTGCCCCCGTGGAGATGCCAGTGCCCGGGCCGAGCTCGATGACTTTCAGGCTTTCTCTCCCAGGTGCCGCGAGAATCTTGTCAATCACCTCATCTGGATCTGCAAAGTCAGCCACGAGGTGTTGGGTGCCAGGTCAGAGCACGATTCACAATTTTTAGGGGGGGGGGGAAGGAAAGAAGACGACCAACGAACATGATGGCCTCGCACGGTCGTACAGGCCCGAAGCGCCGCTTGTGTCAAAGCCCGAGCGCGCAACCTGATGGATCTTGATCTCCTGGCGCTCCTTTCCTGCCGCAGGGAAGGAGGATGCGGACATGGTCAAGGAGTGGAGGGCACTGAAGTTGGATGTCTCTGATGATGCTGGGGATCGATAGATGTGCGGCTGGGACGCCTGGCAAAGCAAGATGCTCGCGCCTCCTGATGAAGTTCGACGGAAGCCCTGAAGTGCCGGAATGCGCAGCATCGGAATGAACACGGCAGGCAATCTCAGGCTAGCCGACAAAGGAAGTGCTAAACGTCAACGATTCGATGGCAGATCCTCGCTCTACCCTTCATGTATTAAATACTTTTGCCCCAAGTTGGCTTTGATTGCAGATCGAACTCAAAAAGCTCATCATCAGGTCCCCGGGTGAAAGCCTCTGCAGTTGTCGAGTCACACGAGCAGGTGCACCGCACGCTGCAACGAAGAAGGATCTCGCTCCTAGTAAAGGTGTCTGTCTGGCACCGTGCGGATACTATGCGCATTGTTTTGGAGGGGTTCCAAACGTCGAGTGAGGCCTGAACGAGATGGGATGGAGATCCGACAAGTCCGACGTTGCGCACAGCCCGAGAAAAACGCGAGCCGAAGAGTCGAGCCGTGATCGCAGGCACGATGCGGTTTGGCGTGCGAGACGCGGGTACCACACACGAGGAGGCCCACGATGGAAATAAAAACTAGGGCTACCATGTTGTCCCTCCTCTCTCGTGCGAGAGTTGAATCCCTCAGGGAGTGGCGTGCTCCGCGACTGCCGCCCCTGTGCACCACACTGGGCATCTATGGCGAATGCATCCTTTCCCGAATGGTTGCTGTGGGTGAGCCAAGAGAGAGAGAGCAGGGGTTGATAGCACCTCAGCATGCTTGCAGTAAATGTCAATGTCGATGTCGTGTGACCATCAATGAGATGCAATGGCCCAAAGCAATGCTTCTATTTTTTCTTTTCTTGCTTTTTTTCTTTCTCACCACACACCCCATGCAGGCATCGTCTCTCTCTTCCACCTTGCAAGCGAGTGATATCCATCTCATCGCAGTGCAGTCATCGAGCCAGAACAGTGCAGCACCCCTACACAGCGGTGCCCCATTTCAGCATCCATCAAGCAACTCTGCAATCAATGACTTCCTCATGCTACCTCGAAGCAAGGGTCTTCGTCCTGCACTCAGCGGCCACACACAGCCCAAGTTCGAGTATGAATGCATCTTCATTGATCTCGAGGCCCACAGGCCAGACGAGGTCGTGGTGGAGATGAAGCCCATGGCATCTGGTGACTATATCCCATCCGCCTGCTGCTCACCGCAGACCTTCGTCCCTTCCCCCTTACCCCCGCAAGCCCGATGTACCGTACACGCCGCCCTTGCGCCGCGTCTATGGACAATCACTTTACAACCACATCGACTTGGGGCGTGGCGACCGGTGTGCTTCCCAGCACCTTCCCCGTCATTCTCGACCACGGAGGTGCCAGCGTCATCCATTGCATCCCACCCAACTACAAGGGCTCAGAGCTGCAAGGTCGCGATGCTGTCCTACGCGGTGCCAGCAGCGCATTTGCGCCTCGTCCAACTTGCGGCCCGTCTAAATTCTCGGCACCGAGATGGTCAGCGTCAGGGAGCACGAGCTTTTACATGGGCGGCTCCAGCAAGAAGGTCCGCACAGACGTCTTCATGCAATGCTTGATGAGCGAGTACGCCATGTTGCCCGCTGAAATTGTGTGTCTGAGCGCGGGGGCTGCATGTGCTGTATGAGAGCAAAGAACAGCGCCGAGTCACATCCAGTCTACATCTTTGACTGATGTTGATGGCGAACGGTTGCACATGGCAGGCGTCGGCACAGTCGTGAATAACCTCTAACCATGATTGGCCACTCAGTGCAGTGGAATAAGCTGCCGCACTGGGACACGCGCGGTGATGTCTAGCTTCCTGTGGAGTACGCAGACACGAAGTCCACGACATCCACCTGCATCATCGAACTCGGCGGCATGGGCTTCGCTTCATTGGCCGGCGCCACACCGTGCAACTTCGATACGGTCATCATCTTCAACCTGGTCGATGACCGGATCGCACTCGCCCAGAAACACAGCACGACGCATACCATAAGCATCAGGCAGGCAGATGAGGTGGTCAAGGAGATAAAGGCGCTCACCCTTGGCAGTGCCGGCGTCCAGTGCGTCTTCGAGGCGACCAGCGTGCCCAGGGTGTGCAGGACGGCCTGGAAGCTCGAACGCCTGGCTCGCGCGTCACGCAGGTCGGCGTGCTGCCGCTCGATGCCACTATCTCCATCCCGATGAACGCCGCATTTGCCACGAACCGAACGTGAATGCCTGGACTTTCAGATGGGGCCTCTGCGAAGTAGGAACAGCTTCCGAAGACGCAAGGGCGAGTATGTAGCTGGTCAACCAATCTGTGTGCTGTGTATTGCAGCTGACGGCAGTGCTCAAAGGAGAGACGACCTCGCCGTCGCTCACGCCGTGCATCGTCACCTTCTTCACGAGCCGCCACTTTGACTTCATCACGGACATCGCTAAGACGTACAAGCCGAGTGAGATGGAGCAGGCGCTGGCAGGCCGACATGCCTACAAGAAAATCAAGCCCTAATCGTTTGAAGGTGAGTTGAAAGCGACGCAGACGAAAGCTGGCGCCTGAGCAACGCAGGAGCGCGTTTGTGGAGCGCAAGAGATACAGTCTCAATGCAACGCCGTCACAGCACGGCGATGAGATGGGATAGAGCACTGAATATGCACAAAAGACGCAGCAGGATGAGAAGTAAATACACAAACGGAACCCATAGCGTCCGTAACGTGAGACCGAGACCAACCGGGCCATGCAAGCGCCAGCTCGTACGTCAAAAGATCTTGCTGTAAAGGATAAGCAGTATGAGCAACACCAGGACGGTGATAATGCCTGCTGTGACGATTTTTTGGCGTTTTGCTCTGCGAGGGGGTGTCGTAGTGGTTCATCACAGAGCAAGTCGGAGAGCGTACGTTAGAACGGCATCCATTTAGACCAGTTGGTATGAACGGACAAGGGTCGGGAGGAAGGGGCAAGGGCAATCGTCAGTCATAAGAATCACAAGCTACACACACAGGGAGTGTGCTGTGTAGAAGCACTGGTGGCGGTTCGGCACACTCACTGACGAATCATCTTGGTCAGCGTCCTAGACGACCTGTCGATGCTGCCATCCGCCTCACGCAGTGTATCTCTAGCATTTTCGATCTGTTCCCGTTGGCTTCGGAGATCCCGTAGGATGTCGGCGCCCAGGGTCTCTGTCTCCAGTGCGATGCGATTGCTCTCGTCCAGTCGTCGGCTGCCATCCTCAAGGCGCGCCGTGCCTTGCAGGAGCCGTTGTCGCTGCAGAACCGGGTCGTTACTGCCGGCGCCGGCTTCGAGGTCGCCACCGGATTCACCAAAGGCATGTGGATCGTACGCTGAGCGACTCCCTGAGAATGCGGTTAGAGTACCACTCTGCCAGAAGCACGTGAAGCATTTCAGCCGAACCAAGGTATTTACAAGACTGACATGCCGAGGTAGGGCATGATGCGCCGTGAAACACGTACAATCTCTTTCTTTAGCTTCTCGAGGTCCGTCTTGGCTTCGCGGACCTTGAGCGCGTACCGGCTCTTGATACTCTGTGGGAAGTTCTGCAGCTCGATGTCCATCTGACCTAGCACCTCGTCCGCTTCGTCGGCCTCCATCTGCGCCCGGCGGAGCGACGCCTTGCGTGCCTCCCCCGTAGCATTGTCTGTGCCCGTGTGCTGCAGCTTACTGCGGATCGACTCGGTCAGCGATGCAAAGTCCGATGCGTACGACTCGAACAGATCCGCCATGGTGGGCTACTAAAGGCGGGCAGAGCGGTTACTAGCGTTGCGTTGCGATGCGATGGGCGGCCCCCTTTTTGAGCCGTGCGTGCAGTGTAGGCCAGCCAGGATATGCGGAAGTCCTCCGGTAGACAAAATAAGCTGGTGCGGCTTCTGATCGAGAGCGCTGTCTGACAGTGTCGCTTTGTGTATGAATTCAATATGAACAGAGGCTGACCGAGAGTTGCGGTGCGAGACATGAGGATGAAAGGTGTTGGACATCGCAGCGCTGCGATGAGTGACGACGCGCACCACCGTGAAATGTAAGCATGTGTTGAGAAAAGGTCAACATACAATAACCCTAACCCTAACACTTGGCGGCACACTCAAACTAATCCGTCACAAACCTCACCTTAACCGATTATCTGCTCCGTTAGCCAGAATCGTCTTGGGCCCAGCTCTCTTCAAGATTTGTGCTGCTCGCATCACAGTCCACGGGCATCGTTGGACGGCCGTGCAGCCGATCAACCATGCAACATAAGTCAAACACTAGAGCAGGACTGGCGGTAATGGGGATGGCAGGGAGCCAGAGATGCTTCTAGGCCAGTTGTACCCTCGCACTTTGCGCAGCTCACACGCTTGAGATCGCGCGTCATGGCGGCTCTATCCCAGCAGCAATATCATCAGCAGAGTGCACCACTGGTCACGGCATCCGACCAGGAGGCCCATACTCCGCTTGCAGTGCCTCGCGATGATATTGCAATGGAAGCACCCGAAGAGCTGGAGACGGGCATGTCAGACTTTTCGTTTGTCGCATCAGATTGCTCTGTTCTCCTCGATCGACGTTCGTACTGGCGACTCTTCGTACGCCATCTGCTCTCCCTGCTCCCTGCACTCTCACTCGTGATCGCCCTCGCCTTCGCAGCGCACCATGTACCCTGCGAGCTACCCTTGCAAAACAGCACGGGCGAAGACACCGTGGCTCGCTGCGATGAAGCGTTGCACACGGGTCTGACTCTCGCGGCGTCGCTCATCGGTGGCGTCGCTTGGCTTGCAGCATGGAGCCTGCGCTCGGCAAGCTGGCTCATCGCCTCGTACTTTGCAGCATTCCCCCACGTCGGGTACGCAGAGATCGACCCGATCGCCACGTCGCTTGTATCCATCTTCATCCGCACAGCGTGCATTGAGGCACTTCGGCTTTGTTCCCTCGCGGTCGGCTATGGGCTCTTCATCGCAGAGGCCACCATCAACCCAAAGGTGGCTGATCATTCTCTGGTGCCCGCTGATGTAGCATTTGCCGCAACAGACGAGTTCGCTTACTCTACTATGCGGCTTCACGACGCCTTTGTGTTACGAGCACGCGACCCGCGCTTCAGCATCGCGATATGGGTATCTTTCGGCTGGGCTGTGGCCGAAACGGCTATCGGCTGCGTACAAATTCTGCAGCAACTGTCGCTCTACGCTTCGCCACTAGAAGTGCCGCTGAGATCATCTTCCATCTTGCCTGTCGTCCTGGCACCGGCAAACACATTGAGCCCAAAGCCGCTTCGCGCACCACCGCGTTGGCCCGCGCCTGCTGGGCGACAGCAGCGCGGCGGGCTCGATTCAAGTGTGGACACCGTTCTGCGAGGCAGCGCGACAGGGGATGGTAAGGCAGGTAAAAATGACGGCGCAGCTGCGCTCTCCTTGAACCTTTCGTGCAACGAGGAGACGGGCGCTATCCCCGCGAGCCTGCCATCACCAAAGCTGGCACCCGCCACTGAAGACCCGTCCGCACAACTCCAGCATGCGAGGGATGAGCTGGCGCGATTGACACGCCGCGACATACCGCAGTACGGCGCAGCGGACGGGGCGGCCGCTTCGACGTCTGGTGCCATTGCGACACCGGCCGCTGACCAAGGCACCACACATCCATGCAAGGCTGCTGCGCCTGCGATCCTAGTGGGAAACCTCATCGGCGACGAGGCGCAGTCGTCGCATAGTGCACAGCTCATCACCAGCCCTGTGCAAGCAGCAGACACTGATGGCAGGACGTGGAAAGGAGAATATGAAGACGAAGATGAAGAGGAGGAAGCGGAGCTACCAGAATTGGACGCTGATGAAATTGAAGAGGAGCGATTTGAAGAGCTACTGCGCAGACGGCAGCGGGATGAATTGGAGGACACGCTGGGCGTGCCATTACCGGATGTGCCCGTCACGCTCTGTCTGCTCTGGCGAGTCGATGGCGTCCTCTTCAATCTGGGTGCTTCGGTGAGTACGGTTGTCGGCCTCCACAACATGTTGCTGCTGTTACTAATCCCCACAAATCCCGCCTCGCACCCGAAAGCTTATCATCGCAGCAGCACTGGCCCGAGGTCAAGGACCTCTACACGTCCGTCCGTTGCATTCTGCATTGACTTCAAGCTTACAAGCCCCTCAGCATGGCGACGATGCGCACAGCGTACCCCTGCTGCCGGAATTGCACACGTACGCCACGAGCGTCGTCGTCATCTTTCTCGTACACAGTGCACTCAGCTCGATCTGGCAACTGAGCGTACCGCGCTTTGGTTTCGCGCTCGTCACTTACAGTTCGCTGATCATTGCGCTCGCGCTCGTGCTCATCGGCCTCGCGCAGTGGGGCGTGCTCGTTTGAGCATCGGCTCAACGTCCATCGTGACAAACTTATACACATGTATAGTACGAACAGCTTGTGCGTTCCAAGCATCAATCAGTACGAGTGTATACCATGCAATCCGCAGTACAATTGGTGTAGAGAATGCAGACGACGCCAGTTGGGAATTGGCGCATCGCAGCTGCATATTTTTGAGCTCAGCAGAAATCACATCCTCATTTCTGGTACCGTTGAGCAGCAAGGATAATGGCCCGCAGACCCGGTATGGTCTTGTTCGTGTCTGGCGAAGCAACTACGGGCATTGCTGCTTCCCCTGCTCCTGCGCCTGTGACGCTATAGACGAAGCGTCAAACCACAAAACAGTCGGACGCCTCGGAGGAGTCCGAGCTCGGATCAGAACCAGAGTTGGAGTCATGGTCCGCGTGCAAGCGCGAGTCCGAGGGGGAGAATTGATCTTCCCCTTGCCTATCAGGTATATTTTTTGCCCTGCCCATGACCCTCCTTGATGTGGGCTGATGAACACGCCGCCAACTATCGGTCGGACGGATCGTGCGGACAGGTGATGCAGGGTGCCCAGCTCGCGTCATCGTGTACGCAGCGATGTACTGTTCTGGGCGGCGGCTATGCCTGCTTCCTATCCGATCCTCACGCGCGTCGATCGGCGAGGTGGTGGTGTAAATGAGATGGTGTGCAGTGGAGGAAGCAGCCAAGCTCTTGCTGTTGTGCCGGCTAGTGTAGTTGCTGCAACCGCTTACGCTGTTACTCTTGCGCTGGCCATCTTCGCCAACCGGATGCGCTTTGACTCATTCTGCGAGCTACGCGCTCCCCTTCGCAATCTTGCGTCGCTTTTGAGTCGGCAACAACGGCTTAGCCGGACCTATGTGGCGCTCGGCCAGGGCCCCAATTGAGCTTGCATCCGCGCCCAGGTCATCATCATCAGCGACAGAATCTGATTCCGAGATAAAGCTTGAGCTTGAGCTTGACCCCGAGTCAGACTCTTCTGCGGTTTCCTCTTCCTTGTCTTCTCTTGGGGTCGACATGGCGCTCTCAGACGATCCGCGCGAGGCGATACTGAGAATGGAGCTTTCGCGGCCGCCACGCTGCTGCTGTTGCTGTTGAGGTCTTTGCTTTGCCGAGCGCGTCACCCTGCTCAGCTCTCGCGTCAACTTGTTCGCTCTCAGTTTGGCATTCTCTTCCCTAAGCCGTTCCAGCTCTTCCCGCAGCATCGCATTCTCAGCTGTGAGCTTCTCGCACTTCGCTTCCACTTTCCGGTGGTCTTTGAGGTATTTGGCCGTCTGCTCCTGATTGTGTCGCTGTAGGACGCGGTACGACTGCGCTTGCAGCCGCTTAGCCTCTTTTCGTTCCTCGTCGTTGGCGTACTTGCGCGGCCGCCCGGGTGCCCCCTTGCGCCTCTGTGGCCCTACATCGAGAGTTTCGCCTTTGCCCTCTCCAGTTTCATCCTCCACATCCTCCTCGTCCTCTTCGTCCTCCTCTTCCACCTCGTCCTC